TCTCTTCTGCGCCAGCACGGCGGGGGAACGGATACACCATGTGTGATAATTGTCGCCATTTAGTTTTGGCATTTTATAATCTTCAGATGTTCTTCAAATAAATGTATCGAGCTAAATTCACCAGAAAAGAAATTATTTACTTCATCAAAGGATGTTTATCCAGCTCACTTCAGATTCACAACATGGTTAGGCTACGGTGCGATCTTCAATCTTGGATTGTTATGGCATTTCCTTTTGAGCTTCATACTGATAACATGTTAAAATTTAAATTATTCGTGGGTAAAGAAATGACATAGTCCAGGTTGAACAATCAAATATATTGGGAATATTTTGGTTACATGAAAACAAGCAACCACAGCAATGCACACCAGATAAGGACAATGCGACAACAACAACACTGTTGCCAACTAACATTAAGTAAATATTGTGATTGGCATGCATATCTTATTTTTTTTTAACAAACAGTACACCACACTCTCCATCTAAGATTGAATTGGGTGAATATTGAAAATATGACAAAAGGAATGGTGACATCTAAAAAAAATCACTTATCTCTTAATGTCAACAAATCAATCAATAATGAAGTTAAAAGATACCTAATAAAAATACTTAAACAAATTACATTTGCATCTACTACAAAATTACAACTTCAGTAAGCTGTAACATAACAAATAATTAATAATTAGTAATCAAAATAATTCTAAAATAAATAGAATGATACGTAAAATGTGTTTGGGTTTCCCATAACAGCTGCAAAAAAGCAAAGAAAAAAAGGCTTAAGTGTTTATAAATTTCTATAAAAAGTTTTTCTTTCCTTTTCTCACTGCTCAGTAATGCATCAGCATTGTTCAACTTGGCACCTGGGCAAAGCTAACTCATAATATCATATTTCTGTAATGCTAGGGCCCATCATTGCAGCTTAGAAGACTGCAATGTGTGCTGAAAGTTAATGGATTGTGTTCACTAATCAGCCTAATGGGTGATACAAAGATGCATGTTTCAAACATTTTCAAGTTCTAAACTGCAGTGTAAGCTTCCTTTTCGATAGTTGGCTATACCTGTTGTGCTTTGGTCAACTTCTGGCTAGCTTAACTTATTGGATACGTTGCCAGCCGGTTTCTAGCCTGCTTTTTGTCTCAGACTGATGATTTCTTGAACCAATATGTCCCAAATACTTAATATGAGTCTTAGCAAAGGTATATTTCTTATGATTTACTGAAAAATCTTATTCCTTACAGTTTCAAGAAATGATGTTGAGGTGTATATTATTTGCCCACTCTCTTAACTGCTATGCCGTATGTCATCAATGTGCACTCAAACAATATCCTTATATTTAGTGAGTTCTTGGTTCATTACTCTCTGACTATTGCTGTGGCATTGCGTAGCCTGAAAGGCATAACTTTAAATCAATATTGAGCTCACTGTGTCTTGAAACATGTCGACTCTTGACTATTCCTTTCCAAGGGTATGGCCCAATATACCTTCAGCAAATTGATGGTCAATAAGTTATATTTTAAGAGCTTAATTTTTATCCTTTGCAATCTATTTGACAACACATTAGCAATATTTTATGTTCATAATTGAAACTAATGGTTTATGATCAATAAGCACTTCTGCCTCTCTACCATAAATGTAATAGTAAAATTTATTAACAGCAAACAAAATACTAAGGAATTCTTTCTCAATCTGAGCATAATTTTTTTTCTGAATTATTCAAACTCCTAAACAAAAAAGCAATTGGTTGCCCATTCTGCAATAAGCAGTGTAACAACTTTAAATAATATTAAAATCTTGTAGTTTAAATAATTTAAATAGATGAACATTAAGGTATTTGTGAATGGCAATATTTGAAACCAGACTCAAGTGCCTCGTGCGACTCTCGCGTGAAGAATGTAATTTATTTTTAAATGATAGAATATGTTTTCTCTTCTTGTTTGTATGTCGCCTTTTTTTGAGTGTTAAATAAAAGTTATTGCTGTGTTCCATCATTGGAGTTGCTTCATTTCGCCAAAGAAGCATCACAGCAGACACCCATCTTTAGAACTATCTGCCTGTATAAGTTATAGTTTACTGCTATCAAATATTCCTAATACAGGTGCATTGGAAATTAATTTTTTTAATTCCCTGAATGCTTTAGAGTGTTAGAATGTAGCTGTTACCACTGCCATTCTACTTTGATTTTCAAAAGTTCCTTTAATATGGCTGTTTTCTCTAAAAAATGTGGTATAAATTTCCTCAAATAATCACTCATTCCCAAAACACGCTGTAATTCATGCTTATTCTGAGGTTCCTGTAACTCAGTATTGGCTTTAATTCGATCAGGTCGCACGCCTGATACATTAAATGACCTAAATAGTTAACCTCACTAACCCTATATTGAAGTTTTTGCTTGTTGAATTTAATATTGAGTTTTTTAGCTCTGTTGATGACCTCTGTTAAAATTTTACCATATTCTTGTTCTTGTTTTTGATTATGTTCTTGTAGGTGCTAGCAGCAATTAGGATGTCATCAGAATAGATTGATACTCCTGGTATGTTACCAAAATTTTCAAGATTGCGTTTCTGAAAAATTTCAAGTGCACAGGAAATACCCATTGTAAGCCTAAGAATTTATAGCATCCAAATGGTGTGCTAAAAGTGCAAAGATCACTACTATTCCAATCTAACACTATTTGAAAAAAAAAATTACTTTTTACATTTCCACAATGCCGCAATATATGCAGTTTACCATTAAGTCTTTCCTTATTGGAGGTCAATGGTCTTCCTGGTTTTGAATCTGCTCTGTCACGAAAATCATCTACCAGTTGTGCCAACATTTTTCGGACGAACATAAAATGTGCCATAGGTATCTTGTTCTCTCTTCTAGCTGAATTTTGGGGAATTATTTTGGAATATTTTAAAAAGAGAGAATGTCTAATTACTGTTAAATACAATTTATAAAATATTCTTTGGAATTCTACAAGGTATCGTCGAACGTTGTCAATTTCATTACGTTCAAAAGATGACTGACTCGCTACTGTGTCTTGCATGGCGAGCGCTGGGTCACAACTTTTGTTTAGATTAAATTACGTTATCTCCAGTTGATGGAACACCATATTGGTTCGTGAATAGGTTCTTTAGGCATTGAGGTTCGTATAGGAAAAGTGTAAACTGTTACATGAATGCATACAGTATACGATTCGTGTAGTTCCTTGCTGTGGTCGCTGAGAGCAGACATACGACCGGAACAGTAAAAAGGCTTTGGTGGCTGAGAGCAGACATATGACCAGAAGGGTAAAAAGGCTTTGGTGGCTGAGAGTGGATATGCGACCGCAAAGGGTTAATAGCTTTGTTAAGATCTTGAGGATCAAGGCATATTAAGGATCCATTAGCTTTTTCAATTATTACTAAATTGCTAACCCAATTAAAAGGTTGATCAACTTTTTCAATAATGTTCTGTCTCTCTAATTTGTTTAATTTTAATTCAAGTTTAGGTTTTAAACTAAGTGGTACTCTACGTGGTGGTCTCACTACAGGAGCTATCTGATTATCTGCTATGATTTTACACAATCCATTAAATTTTCCCACACCATCAAACACATTATTAATAATAAATTGATCTTTAGATGGAGGTAAAACAATTGTATACTGATCCAACTCACCTTTATTTGATATTTCAACCTTATTTATAAACTAAATCAAATTAAGTTTAACACGTTCAACAAGTCCTAATAATAGACGTATATGCTTGCTAGAAACAATTAAAAACTCTAGAGTAGGATCCTCACCATCTGAGGAACATTGTAACATTAACGACTCATCAGGTTTAACCTTGGACCCCCCAAATGCTTCTAATACAACATTACACTTGTTTTCAATAAGATTAGAGTTCTTAGCACTCTGTTTCATAAATTTTCACAGGCAAAACGTTCACTTCAAACCCTGTGTCCAACTTAAAGGTCCTTGTCCTTTCAACAATTATAGTTTCAGTCCACTCTTTTGTAGACGATGTTGAGCATACACTTTTAGTTTTTTGGAAATTTATGGAATTCACAAAGAATTCATCATCAGATTCACTATATAGATCTGCATTATCATACTGAGAAACATTTTGAACGTGTTTCAGTCTGCACATAGTCGAAAAGTGATTTAGTTTGGCACAATTAAAGCATTTTTTTCATATGCCGGGCATTGTCCATTAACATGATGTATGTTGCATTTTTTACACAAAAACGTTTCAGTATTTGAAGCGTCATCACACAATCCTCTGTGCTTCCTCACTGCTACGGCTGCATTGGCTCCTCCTGCCTGATGTTGCTTCTCTTTCCCTCAAGTTACGCTGTCAACATTGTGTTCTCTTAATGTTTGAGCACGAGCTTTGCTCAATTCAGCTGCTTTCTCCAAACTCAGATTATTTTCTCGCAGCATCCTCTTCGGTAAACTGGCATCTGATACTTCAAGGACAATGCGATCACATATGACAGAGTCACTCTGCTCAACAAATTTGCAAGATTTTACCAGTTTTTTTCAGGTCTGTCACAAAACACAATAAAAAAATTCTCCTTCTTGTTTTCTCTTATTGAATAAAAATCTCTCCACCATGACATTTGTTCTAGGCATCGTGAAAGCTTCAAACCTTTCAAGCACTTTTTTCATAGATGCCCTGATCTCCTGTTGAAAAATAGAGTAAAAGGTCACAGGTTGAAAATGACACAAAGAACAATATTATGTTAAAATAAGGCATTAGAGAATTAATAATTTTTTTTTTAAATCTCAATGATATAAAACAGAAAAAAAAATTTATATGCCATGAAATATGAATGAATAAACAGACAACCTGTTTCTAAAATTAACACAACATCGATATTCTAATTGTAAATATATTTCCTAGATATATATCAAGAATTGTGCTTTATAGTACAAAAATTCTGTAGAATGAGAATTTTTGTATGAGATTAAATCCGTTAACTGATTTTTCATGTAAAATGTTATATTATTGACCTGCAGCATTTTCTCATTAAGGTATTTTAAAGCTCACAATGACTCATAAGAAACTAGGCATCACAAAAGAGATAATGGCTACCAAAATCATACCTTTTATTATGCCTCTCTCTATTGAAAATGGACTTACACTAAACCAGGTAATTTTTTTTTTTTTTTTTCATTTCTTTCATTTATGTAACTCGTGCTAAACATACTTATAATTGTCAGTTTTCATTAGATTTTTTTATGTTTATTTGTATGTTCAAGAATTGGAAATTAAGAAAAGTCACAATTTCTTTAAGTTTCAGTTTAATTTTATTCATATTGAATATTTGTTTGTTGAGCACTTTATTTAAAGCAGGTTTAGGATAGGGGAACAATTCTCTAAATATAATTCTTAATATGTGCTCAGAATTGTATGTATGCTTAGAAAACTTGTTTAGAATGTGCTGTGGACATTAATTATAATCAGAAATTGGTAAAATAGTTGAAGATTTTAGAACAGCTTTAAGAACAAAAAATTACTTTTAAAGTTTTATTCACTTGATTTTATTTTGTAATATAATATATTGAAAGCATGGCTTTTGTGTTATCAGTTTTAGAATTTTAACTTGTATGCGTTAAGGAGTGCATATATTATGGGTAAAAAATATATATTGGAATGTGCAAAAAGTAGTTCTATCATTATGAAACTGATGTCATCAAAGAAATTAGTGATTAACATAAATTATAATCAACATAAGTAATAGATTTCAAAATCATGTGACAAAAGTTTGTCTTGTGTTTTCAATCTAATTATTTAAATCTAACTATTTTGCTTTCAAGATGAAGGCATGCTTGGAAATAGTCAGCAGTGTTGTTTTGCATGTGCTGGTGTACAGTTCATTTGGAGTGTTGAATTCCTTGATGATCACTGCTTTGTTTGTTTCAGGTCATCAGTCTTTGAAATGCTAGTTAATGCCACCCCCCCCCCAAAAAAAACTGAAAAGGTCTGAATTTTAATATTAGCTAAATGAATCTTTTTTTCCCCCTATTCTCATATATAATGGAAATTTGTAATTTTTATTTGTTACTTCAAGAGTGACTTTCGATCACATGATATTCTGAAAAATGCTTGTAAACTCCGGCAACAACGATCAATTTGGCAATTGATCAGAGCTCCTTTCTTCCTCTAGGGTTAACCAATGTTATGGTCTCTGTGTATTTGAAAAGTGATCTAACAATGAAGTCAGTTTCAAAATTAATAGCAAACTTGGGAGAAGGGGCAATGCATATATTTATTGAGTGGTAGTGAGCCAGCTATTTCCCTACCCTCATACATTCACTACTTAACAATCTCTAATAGTGTGAAAATAGCTTATCTAACTACTCACAAACATAAAAAGCATAATTGTCTGGGACCTATCCTGTTAGATCGCATGTCTTGGAAAGTATTCTGCTGTTGGATGATGAAGTAAACACTGTTTTCAAGCAGATCTGAATAACTTCCCACTGTTGCTGATCCGTCAAAAAGGAATGACCGTAACTTAGTACAAAATTCCAGCAAAATGTATCACATTTAGATGTCTGTTATTCACTTTAGTTATCACTTCTGTGTTTTCATTTCTCCAATAAATGGGTGTTTGTTGATATTTCAAGATATATAAAATGTATCCATTCATGACGCTCATTCTTCTGCATTGTAGTCATTGATAGGTTCATCAAATCATGTTTCAACAAATTCTCCTATCTCTGTGGTGGGCCCACCAGTGGCCGAGCGGTAAAGTCGCTGAACACTGGTAGCTCGGTCCAAGGTTCGAATCCCGCGAACGGGCTGGCTGCATGGGCGTTTTCGTGGTTTTCCCCATGTGTAACGTGTATACGAGCCAGTTTCCCTTAGAAAGTCCTCCACGAAGGCATCCCTCCTCTTAGGCAGATAGCCCTAGTGTGCTTTGCCATAATTAAATACACCAAAACACCAAACGCCACCTATCTCTGTGGATCATACTCATTTATTTTATTTATTTATTTTTTTTTTTTTGAATTGGGGATAATATGGATTATTTATTTATTTCATAATCTTTTGTAATGCCAACCTTGAAATATTCAGCTGTCTAAATAATTGTGATGGAGATTTTGGCGTCCATGGTAAATAGTTTGTTCCATGCTACAATGTTATTTGATTTCTACCATGGTCACTTGATTTGTGCTGCCCCTTCTCTCTGCATTGTTCTCCATCTATTTAATTTTTACTTATTGTAAAGTAACTTTCTTTAAGTTCTTTAAAATAACCATTTCTAGCATCAATCACCTTTTTATTTGATTCTAACTTTCCAATCACAACTGTTTTGAACTTTTCAACTAAATTGGAGCCAAATCAGTTGAATGTAGGGAAAAAATTTAAAATATCAAGTTTTGTTGTGCAGTTGCCCTTGCATAAGTAAGTATATTATGAGGAACAGCATATTTTCATGACCATTTTTTAATATTTTTTTCTTTTATCATTATTATTACTACTTACTGTTGCATAGTACTGATCAGGAATAGATTTTCCTTTATCAAAATAATTAATAAAATTCTTTGATATTACAAAAAAAAAAAAAAAAAAAAAAAAAAAAAAAAAAAAAAAATTCATAGCCTCGTTCTTTCAACCCACTAAGTGCTTTCTTCAAAACCAAATTACTTTCTCAAATCCAGTGTTTTGATTGTAGCTTTGTTTCTAGTATGTAGTGGTAAATCACAACTTTGATATAGTGACAAATCATCTCTTGCAATCTGTGAGGTCCCTTTGGTTTAGATTGAATAAATGTGGAATTCATCTTATGCCTAGTGTGAAGTTTTTTTTAAACCCAGATTTTATGCGGAATATAAATTTATTGTAAAACATGAGTACAGCTTCTTTAGTTTTATGCACTTCTATCAGCAAAACCTTATCAAGGATTTTAATCACAGTATTGGATGTGATAGCTGTATTTTGACATTCTGACCATAGTTCTTCAGTAGCGTAAATGTCTCGATACAATTCCCAAAAACTCATAGTAGAGAGTAAAACTGATGAATTTCCAAGAACACAAATTAATTTAGATTTGATTTCTATTGTTGTTTCCCATCTGAATGGGAAAATTTCATAAATGCTTGAAATTTGTTTTTATCTATAGTTGAGACAAAAAATATTTGGTTAAAATGCTCATTAAAATTCAAACAGTCTTAACAGTTCCTTTTGAAATTTAAATGAAATTATTGCCAAAGAACAGAATGAAAGTTATTTGTTTAAAGTAAACCCTAAGAATGATTTTGGGAATTTTGAATGTACTAAGTCCGTGATCCGGACTCGTCGAGACTTCAGCGATTCTGGATTAGGGGTTTTTCCGGATTATAGATCATCAATTGAAATCTGATAAGATGGCATGCAGAAATTATACAATTAAAAATATGAAACCGTAATTTATGAAATAAAGAGCAAATATGATCTAAAGAGTATCAAATTTTACAAAAAAAAGCTTAAATATTTATTTGTTTACTTTATTAAACATTTCTTTCAACGTGCGCGTGCATACAGCATACATTACACGCATGCGTAATGCGCGTAATGTATGCGCGTGCATTCTTTACGCCCATGCTTAAAGCATATAAAAAAAGTTTGTGCCCTTTGAGGTCCGGATTATAGATCATTTCAGATAATGGACGTCCGGATTACAGACTTTGTACTGTATTACTAAATATGCAACTATATAGGTTTATTCAAATGAAGCTGGCTAGTATTTTTCCCTCCATTTTTAGTTCAATGCAATTATGTCTGTTGTGAAAGAGATGGTCAATTATGTTGAAGCAGAGCACAAAACAAAATTGGAACAGCTCAATTCCATTCGTCAAGAACACAGGTAACAGTATTTAAGTTCTAGATGTAAAAGATTTTAAATTGCAATTTGCTGTCATAGCTTTTGTTTATTATTCTTACTGAAGCAGTATTTAAAAGTTGTGTATTTATCTTGGCATTATATACTAAATCATGATCAGTCATCTTTTATTGCTTGTATAAGGTATGTAGTAATTTAAAACAGAATTACTTATCAGGTTATAGTAGTGGATTATCTTGGTATATGAAGTATGTTATAAGCATTCAAGAAACATTTCCATGTTGTCATGAATAAATGGAACAGTTTATCAGATTTACAAAAAGTCATGATTATCAGGCCAAGGATAGTAGCATTTCAGGAACTGCACAGTTTATGGATTGTTTGTGTATTGCAGTGGTGAAATTGTCTCATGAATGGCAAAATGACATTATAAAATAAGCAGCATGAAAACTGCAGAGCACCTGAACCTGTAGGTAAAAGAGGTGGACACCATTTGCAATGGTGCATTTGGCTAATTGACATGCTACAATGAACAGTTTATTGCCCAAATAAATTGGTAATTACCGCAGTAATATCTAAAGTCCAAAGCACTTATGTCTTGATGAACCTTGCTGCATATAGGGCTCTACAGGAAATGAATGAGACCAGTAGTATGCTAATGACTGTTCATTGGTGAAAGAAACTGGAATTTGCACAGTAATACCAACAATGAGCCTCCATTGATTAGCAGAAGGTTAGTCTCTCAGATGAATCATGTTTTCAGCTTTATCAAATGGATGGATGTTAGCACATATGGCAAGAAATGTGGGACAGCGCACACATTTCTCAACCAACTGTAGACTAATGCGACATAAGTGTCAGGAGAATATTTTTGTGATATTCTATCCTTGCAGGTTTGCAAGTCATGTACACCCATACATACAGATTCCCCCCTGGGAATGGTGACATCTTCCAGCATGATACTGTGATGTATTTATGCAGCTAGGAATGTATGTTAGTAATTGGAAGAACATGAGGAAAACTTTACTGTCCTTCCCAGGTTCCTCATATTTACAATTCAATTTAAAACTAACTCAGAATCTATGCAATTACTTTTGGATTTTTCATTCTATCGATTCTTTGCCATGCACCTTCCAGCAGCCTTCATCTGTACTGCAGTCAGCATTGTTATATATTCCTGTGAACACTTTCCAGTGCCATATTGAGTCCCTCCCAACCATCTAGCTATGGTCTACACTGCTTATGGTGGTTATTCTGGGTATGAATGGGTGGTCACATTAATGTCACCCAACTGTATATTTTATCAATTAATAGCCAATTTCTTTCAGCTCACAACTAGGACAAGTGAAATGGACTCTTCAACAAAATATTAATAGCTTCTTTAATAAGCTACATCTTTTACTATCAGTTTATTAAAAGTAATTTAGTAATTTTAATATTTTTAGTGCAGATATGTGAGTAACTGCAATTTTTTTTTTTTTAAATAGTTGAAAAAGTTTTATGCTTTTCAAGAAATGGGCCTTTTATTAAACTCTTAAACAAATGTAATATTCAGACAAAAGTAAATTTTGTAGGTATTAATTATTTTAGTACTTCTGATATATATTTTTAAAACTTATACTGTGTATGGTCACTGCATATTTTTTAAGAATTTGCCTATGACCAGTATCTGGCATTTCCTGGAGCCACTGGTGATAACATTTCAGTAAATATGCCTTATTATTACAATTAGGAATAACTATACAGGCTCTGATCATAAACAAACTACATGGCAGTCCAGTCTTTTCCTCAAGCCTAATCCCTCCATTTATTCTTGCATTTAATTTTTTTTTGGGGGGGGAGGACCTCATAGTATGAAAACCAGTTTCCACATTCAAAGTGTATTCTCTTCTAATTATTTTGTTACTGCTTGTCAGGAATGACCATGATCGAAAGGGGTGTTTTTTTCCTGCTTATGTTGCATAATTATAGCATGTGTTGTGGCATGATTTTTGTTTCAGTGCTGTGTTGAAAAATGAAAATCCCAAAAGTTCATTTTTATCACATTATGCTCTTTTATTTTAAAAAATGTTAGTCAGATCACCCATAAAATTTGGGCTGTATATGGATGGTATGCTGTTTCTGATGACACAGTTTGAAGATGGTTTGGGGAGTTAAGCCTCAGAGATGATGCCCACTTTGGGAACCCATCCTTTGTAAACAAAAACCTGTTAAAAGAAGCTGTTGCTGAAAATATGCATTATGCAGTTCAGGAATTATCAGAAAGATTAAATACTCAAAAATGTACTATTTGTGATCATTTGAAGAAGATTGGGTTTGTAATTTGACATGACATGTGGGTACCCTGTAGTTTAACAAAACACAATATTGGTTACATGAGTTCGATATCTGATTCTTTGCTGAAGAAATAAAGAAACCCTTTTTCTCAAATGGCTAATTACTGGAGAAAATGGATGCTATACAATAATGTTACAAGAAAAAAATCACGAGATAAGAAAAAAATATCTCCTAACATCAAAAGAGATACTCTTTCCCAAGACAGTAATGTTTTATGTATGGTGGGCACTGCAAAAGCATAAAATACAGTACAAAGTTCGTAATCCAGACTCGTTGGGACTTCGGCGATTCGTGATTAAGGGTTTTTCCAGATTATAGATCATCAATTTAAATCTGGTAAGATGGCATGCGGAAATTATACAATTAAAAATATGAAACCGTAATTTATGAAATAAAGAGCAATTGTGATCTAAAGGATATCAAAATTTGCAAAAAAAAAATGCTTAATATTTATTTGTTTACTTTATTAAACATTTCTTTCAATGTAAGTTGTTTAAGTTGCTTCGTTTTTTGTGCTGAACGCACATGTGTAAACATTAAACGCACATGCGTATAGAAAAAAAAAAAAAGGTTTGTGGCTTTGAGGTTCGGATTACAGACTTTGTACTGTACCATGAATTGTACTCACCGAGTTAGACATTAAATTTGGAAAAGTACTGTTCCCAAGTGACTGTTTTAAAAATAGAAATTGAGACAAAATTGACTGATGGTATAGTTGTTATCTTCCATCATGACAGTGCTTGGCCCAGTACTTCAGTTAATTTCAGATAAAGTCTAATTAAGTATGCCTGGGATGTTTTGTGTCACCCTCTATTCACTAGACCTTATCCTCTTGGATTTTCTTCTCTTTATGTCAATTCAAAATTCTCTGAACAAGCAGGAGTTAATTTCTCTGGAGACTGTCAAACACCATCTCAATAACTTCTTTATGAATGAACCTGAGGAGCTTTTTAAAAAAGGAATTTTTGAGCTGTCTTAGAGCTGACGAAAAGTTGTATAGTAAGATGGTTTATGTATAAAAATTAAGAGAGAAGAGAAACACACCAAAATAAGACATAAAATTAGTAAAGCAGCAACCTTGTGTTTGGTGTAGATTTTAGTTTAGTAATTTCGAGGGCAAATAGGTACAAGACATGAAGAGGGATTTGTACCTGTTTGCCCTCGACATTACAGAGTCTGAACCAAAATCTGTGTGAAACACAAGGTTGTTGCTTTGCTAATTATATGATGCTTATGTAATTTAATGAAATTTGCCTGTGTTTTTGTACTGTTTCATTAGCATTTATGTTTAATAAATCATAGAACATTCTGTAATTATGAAACAGTAATTATGAAATTGCAAGTTGGAAATTTAAAAAAAAAAAAAAAAAGAGGAAAAAATAGAACAAAATTAAATATGTAATTTACCGAAGATACTTGTTACTATGGGCTACAATGACTAGTCACATAAAAATACAGTGCTAATAATTTGCAGATTATTGTCTAGTAAAATATAACCATGATTGGTATTGGTAAAGGTTTACGAATTCATTCTAAATGTCATCAGTTGCATTTCTTGTTTTGATCTATCATTGTTTTATGAGATTTCAGCTATTGTTATCGAAAATTAACGTACATTAGTGCTGCGCAGCCAGCTGTGTCTGGCTTATATTGTAAATGCAGTGCAGGGGTGGGGGGGATTGAAAATATGTTTACTTTAAAAAGCATCTTCTCATGTGTTTTAAAGAAAACACTTTCACTATTTGATATATTTTAATAGATTTTCTTTAAAAAAAAATAAAAAAAAAAGTTCTAAAAATTGTTTAAAATGCAGAACAAACATGAATTTTCTGTTACATTGAGCGGTAAACAGACAGTTTTAAATAAATAATGTCTAATATAAATTATTTGTGATTTTTCCCCCTTTTTTACATTATTCAATTGAAAACTGCATTTCTAAATGAAATATTGGCCAGTATGCATGCAGTAATTTCTAGCTTGAAAACAAGGGTGTGTACTCAACAGTCTCATTTTTTCACTTCCCAAAGCTAAAACATCTCATAAAGAAAAGTTGGAGTTTTTTAGGGGGGGAGTACTGAAGAGATACATAAAATTTTGGCATATACACCTCTTGAAGGCCATATCAAAATTAGACTTGTAAATGGCTTCCCTTTTATTAAAAGATCTTGTCTCTTCTTGTATAGATGCAGGAATATCACATTTGGAGTAATAAGTTCTACCATTGCTTTAATATTTTCCTGTGTAATGGTGTGACATTTTACTAACAGAAGTAATTCATAATGTAGTACAGTTTGAAATTTTTAATTAATAGTTAAACATTTGCAATTTTTTAATTTCAGCTCTACACTGGAAATGACTCATGTAGTGCCCGGTAACCAAAATCTTGTTCCTGACTTCTCGCAAGGAGGAGAGAAACATGTTGTATGTTTTTTTATTTCTGACATTAATGTAAATTTGGTATTGTGTTGTTTTTAAAAAGTTTAAATTGTAAACACACCAAATAAACCAAGATTCTTATCTTTTGTATGTATAATATAATGATTGTGTTTGCATTCAACCATAAACTGAAACCAGTGAATGTTATAACATTCAGATGAAAGTTTGATTCAAATTATCATTTCTTAATCCTTAAACGCTGTTCCCCCAGTATTTGCAAATGAGTCCTTCAGATCTTAAAAGTTCTTTGCGTAGTTCATGTTTAAATTTTGTTGTTTGCAAGGAATAAATTTTAAATATTACTTTATTTTGCTGTTTAGTATTCTTAGAAACTGTTATGGCAATAAAAGTGATATTAAATAAAAATAAGAAATATTTACAAAATCTGGCTTACTATGCACCCTAAAAAGTAACAGTAATAAAAATATATTTAAACATTATTCTTCATAACAGTTATTACAAACTGTTTTGAATTCCCCCCCCTCCAATGTAAAAAAGTTGCATTTGCACACTTAGAAGTATTTTTGTTGTCAGTTTTTTACACAAGTGGTATCTTCCTCATCATTTCTAGTTTTCACATCGCCTGAAGTACTAGTAATTTCCTTGCTGAACGTTTTGGGACTTTTAACAAAACCTTTAGCTCCTTTCCTTAATGTGTTATATTCTCTTGTTTCCATATGCTTTTCAATTTTTTCACTTAAGTTTTCAAAAAAAAAAAAAAAAAAATTCTTCATCAATAAAGACAGTATTTTTTTTATTTTTCCCCCCATGATGTATGTATTTTACAATGAAGTAAAAAGTGTGATATGCTGATATATCTAAAATATTGCTAAACGCAACAACTGACCAATGACCAACAATTTGTCTTTTCATTTTGCAATATATATAGCTGCCATTGTGTACAGTGTCTCTACAGCTCCTTTAGCTTTAATGTAATTAATAATGATTACTGGTTTTCTTTCAACACTTTTTTGAGTTTTTTCATCTTTATGCAATGTACTTTGCAGAACAATACATTTATTTTTCTTGGGAATTATAAGATACAAGTGTCATGTCTTCAGTAGAAGCAAAAATTGAACGGTACTTTTGATTAAATTTTGTTTTCAAAATTTCTGTAGGTATATATGGTTTGTTCCCTATAATTTACTAATCACTGTAATATTCTTTCTTAGTAGCATTTGACCTAAATCGTAGGATATGCAGAAATTATCATACATAATATGACTTCATAAACCATAAAACTATATGATAAATCAGAAACTACTCTCAATCCAGGATTCTTTTCTGGGGCTGTCGTGACCATTTTCCTCATTAAGTTAGGATATTCCACGCATTGCAAGTCTCATAAACCCATAAAATCCAAAGTTTTATACCATACTGATCAGGTTTGCTTAGCATTTAAATTACCTAAACAAACACTTTTCCCTAAAAGCAATAATTTGTGCACCAATTGTTGAATTGCAATTGCCAATTGGTACTTATCCATTTATCTTACAGTTCTCAATTAAAATCAATTTTTTATTTGATCATCATCTTTGTTATTAAATCAAATAACTCTAGATACCATTTTGAATCTTTTTTTGTGTGTGCTGCACATAAGTTAATAGACCCAGAGCTACGAAACTTAGTGCATATGTGCATCTAGACAAGAGCCTGTGCACCTCGAAGTGATTTTTTTAAAATTCAAATAAGTTTTTTTTTTTAATGTTTTTTGATGAAATAACATCAAATCCATAATTCTGTCTCATTATATCAGCAACAACAGCACACAGCCATTGTTGCGGATATATTACTGTTGCCATTGTTGCTGATATCAGCACTGTTGCCACTCTGTAAAATGAGGACGATAATTCTGTGCAGTTTTTAAATTGAATGTTTCTCTTGGATATTGAATGTTTGTCGAGAGAAGGCAGTGGGAAGTTGGTTAATTTATTTATTAGGATAATTAATATTTGTATTAAGGGCTATTGCTTATTTCATTGTAATTTTTTTTATATGTAATACATTTTTATTGAAATTTTTTTATGCAGAGTAAAATTCTGTGCAGTTTTTAAATTTAATGTTTCGTGTTCCGTTTAGGTATTTTCCCAGTACATTTAAAAGCCAGATGAAGGCTGGCTGCATAGCTGCTAGTGGAAAATAAATTTAAAACTTGTAATTTAACAATAATAAAAAAGAAAAAGATTTCTGCCGTAACTGTCTGAAAAAAATTTTATAATCGGTAAGCTTCAAAACTATATGGCAAAATGTTAATGATAAAATACTATTTGTGTAACATATAGAAGAGTGATAGTATAGTTTGAGAGTATGTAGTTATTTTAGTCTGATACTAATGTAGATATATTACATATATTGTATTTCATACCTATATATTGCAATATATAGGTATGAAATAAAATAACATATCTTGAGATGCCATGTAAATTGTTATATATTTATCTCTTGCTTTATGAACATTGCTTTACATCATTTAACTTAAGAATGATTTAGTCTTTAGTAATTACTGAAAACTAAATAATTTTGTCTGTTAGCAAAGGAAATCCAAAGAGGATTTCTGCTTTTGTATAGAAAATGGAGAAGAAAATATGATTCAGCATTCTTTTATTTAGTGGCTGCTGAAAAGTGTGACTGTCATTATGAAGTAGTGAACAGATTTAAAGATTTTATATAAACTAATGCAAAAGATAAACATCAGTTTCCAGTTCAGGCAGACAAGTGTAGGAATTGTAGATGCAAGGACTTGACAGCTGCAGATGATGATAAATTATCATTGTCCTTCCTCAAACATAAGCTATGTATCCCCCAATTCCAAATCTATAATACTCAACGCACCATTGTAATACCAACTCATTTAAGCCCATTAATTTGTTATTGTTCTTTTCAGTTTTAGAAAGTGAAACTACACATGTTGTATGCTCATTATTTCTGTTTATTACGGACTGCATATTTATCATATCTTTATTTCTTTCACGTATTTAATATTATAAGAGCTTTTTAATGTGATGTGATGTTTCTTTGAAGACCTAGGAGCTCTAAAAAATGTTCTTCATATGAGTTGTAGTTTTTTCTTTGCTGTGTGCCATTTCAACTTACAAAATATTTTATAAGATTCATAAACTGAAGGAAACCTATACCTGATAATTCACATAGTGATGATAAAATTTTGTAATTTCATAATATGACAGTTTTGAATAAAATAGTTCTAGATAGGTCAGAGAAGCTTATTTATTTCTTATTATGTATTTTATCAGTAAAATAAATTACTGTATTGAATGTAAAATTTTAAAATTCAGAATTAAAATGTAAAGATTTTATTGGATGCAATTGAAAATAATAATAATAAAAGATTATTTTTCAGATTCATGCATCTAAATAGATTATTTGCTTTTAAAAATTCATTGATTAATTGATTACTCTGGCTGTGCATGAAAATCCTCCCTGATAATTTCTGCCTATATAAATCTTATACTGACCTGTAAATTGTTGTAGCACATAGCAAAATCTAGAGAACATTGACAACATTTTTGATTGATTGCAAAGCAGGTATCAGGATATACCCATGTGATATACAAGTTCCTATAGCATACTGGGTTGCAACTTTGTCAAATATACATTTTCTCTAAGTTTAAGGAACTTGTGCATAATCTGGCTTGAATATCCTAATATCCCCTCAGCCATGAGACCTGTACCTCATGATGCTTCTAAGCATACAAGACATTAGATTGCAGTATGTCACTTAAGCTGCATTTTCTTCACTTCCATTTGGAATTCTTCCCTGACTATTTAGGTACAGTTTCTGACAAATGTGGCAAAAGATTTCACCAGAAGTTGCTCAAATAGAGAAGCGGTACAGTGGAAAATGGATCACAATCATGTTAGCGGACTACTATTAGGCCCTCAGATGTGAAACTATTCCCGACAAATACAAGCACAAAAAGATTACAAAATGAAGAATGTTTTGTAAAAAAAAGTGATTTCTTTCTTTTTTTTAATCTTTGAAAATGTATTAAATTGTGTATGGTTTGGATTTTTCATATTTTATATTCTTGCCTTTCTAAAAATTTATGGGTGATAGGTAAAAATCAAGTTCATATTTAAATTCAGCACATTAACAACACACACAAAAAAAAAGTCAAAAAATATCAGGGAGCTACAAAAAACTTCGAAATGCAGAGCTGTGTTAATAGTTTATTAGAGGAAATTAAAAAACTAAGAGTTCATATCATAATTTTTATCTACTGCAGAAAGTAGAGAAATTTAGATTGTCTTTCTGATAAGCGAAACAATAAACAAATAATATTCAAAACTAATAAATTTAAAAATGAAGACACAAACACATGCCGAATAAATACTAATTCAGAAGTCAAACAACAAAAATCAGCATTATATTTTCAAAAATTTCACAGCACTAGTTTTGATGGTTTTACCGAACCACCATCCTCAGCTGCAAAACCGCAAATGAACAAGATAGGAAATAATGATTAGATAAGATAAGAAAGCCTGGAAAAGAATAAGCAAGTGGCGCCATCTGTTGGTGAAACCAGAATTAAAATATAATTTCTTTAAAGGCCGAAGGCAAATTTTGATTGGAATTAGGATCGTTAACTAGAACAGAAGATTTTTATGAATGTGAAAATGCCTTTAGAAAATCCAGTTCTCCAATGGAAGATGTTTTTGAATAATTTTTGGCAGTAGAAAATTAAAGTGTGATTTTCGGACCAACAATGTTGAGCAACAGAAGACTTCTGTGTTTCCTTTTTTTTTTAACATATGCCTCATGTTCCTTGACGCGAAATTTTAAGGCTCTCTTAGTTTGGCCAATGTAAATTAAACCACACTGGCAAGGAATCCTATAAATACCCCAGGAATTCATATCCAGAATGGGGTCCTTGAGTATGGAACTCAGAATTTTATTGATGGGAGAATAAAGAACCTGAAAGTTAAATTTCTGCAAAATATGTGCAACTTTATAGCTAATTAATGGAAAGAAGGGAATGACAACAGAATTTTTATAATCTCCTAAAACAAGTTTGTGCCTTTTAGTGTGTTGAGATGAGAATTTTTTAACTGCTTGATTAATAATGTTGGATGAAAACCCCTGTCAATAGCTATTGCTTTTAAATAATTTAGTTCTTCATCAAGGGATAGTTTGAAGGAGCAAACTTGTACTGCCTTCCACCACACTTTAAATCATGTCATCCGACTAAACAAAAGTTAGCTTCATTTTATTCCTATGTCTTCCGTGCTCTTCAAGTTTGCTCCTTCAAACTATCCCTTGATGAAAGAACTAAATTATTTAAAAAGCAATAGCTATTGACAGGGGGCTTTTTCACACAACATTATTAATCAAGCAGTTGAAAAATTCTCATCTCACACACTAAAGGCACACTCTTGTTTAGAGGAAATTATAAAAATTCTGTTGTCATTCCCTTCTTTCCATCAATTAGCTGTAAAGTTGCACATATTTTGCAGAAATTTAACTTTTGGGTTGTTTATTCTCCCATCAATAAAATTCCGAGTTCCATACTCAAGGACCCCATTCCGGATATGAATTCCTGGGGTATTTATAGGATTCCTTGCCAGTGTAGTTTAATTTACACTGGCCAAACTAAGAGAGCCTTAAAATTCCACGTCAAGGAACATGAGGCATATGTTAGAAAAAAGGAAACACAGAAGTCTCATGTTGCTCAACATTGTTGGTCCGAAAATCACACTTTCAATTTTTCTGTTGCCAAAATTATTCAGAAAACATCTTCCATTGGAGAACTGGATTTTCTAAAGACATTTCACATTCATAAAATTCTTTCTGTTCTAGTTAACGGTCCTAATTCCAAACCAAATTTGCCTTCGGCCTTTAAAGAAATTATATTTTAGTTCTGGTTTCACCAACACATGGCACCACTTGCTTATTCTTTTCCAGGCTTTCTTATCTTATCTAATCATTATTTCCTATCTTGTTCATTTGTGGTTTTGCAGCTGAGGATGGTGGTTCGTAAAACCATCGAAACTAGTCCTGTGAGAATTTTGTAAATATCGCTGATTTTTGTTGTTTGACTTCTGAATTAAATTTTAAAATGTCAGGTATTAAAAATACTATTAAAATATATCACCATTTCTCTTATAGTCAGAATGAATTAATGAAATAGAAATATTTAGCTTTCACATTTGGAAACAAGATATTATGTTAAGATTTTGTCAGCAATTTTCAATTGTTTATATTTCACTCAATTAGTTACAGCATGCATTTTTTAATAATTTACAGGCTGATGATCTGTTCCAGAATTTGGGATTGTCTTCTTTCGGCAGTCGTTATGAAAACCCCAAATCTCCCAATAATTCAACCAGTATTTTAGGAAAGGAATTACAGATGGAAAAAACACATAAAAAAGTATGTAATATTATAATTTAATAATTACTACGTTGTGACTTTTTTTAGCACTTTTGTACGTAATTTAAGATTTTGCTTAATATGTGCATTTTTCAATTCTTGAATGTTTTATTTTTGATAGGCATCCTCTATGTCCTTAGAAGAAAAAAAGACACTCTCGTGGAACCAAGAGCAGTATCAAAAATGGAATTCAACAGGTGGACGAGGAGAGCCATTAGTTTTATCTCATGATGCAACTTCGTCTCTAATTGATTCCAACCTCAAAAAATTTTGCTCAGTTAAACCAACAGATTCTCAGTCATCACTTCCATTTTGTTCCTCTCCTAACATTCCAAATAATTGGCCTTCTAATTTTGGCACTTCCTCTTCCCAGCAGCCATTATCTTTAGTCAGTAACTTTTCATCACCAATGTTAAACCCAACTAGCTCAACACGCTTACCTTTCCAAAATGTTACTCCTACTATTACTGGAAGTATGGACCTGCGTTCCCTTGACAGTCTACTTCCGAACTTAGGAGGTAGATCATCTTTAACTTTATCACAATTAAGTGGGTCTAGCATAAAACAGAATAATTCTGTTGCATCCAAAATTCCTTCCCCACCTTGCTACAGCATTCCTACGAACAACACTGCAAAGAATGAATTAGATGATCTTCTAGGATAGCAGTTTTTTAAACGATAATGCTTTTTCTAAATTTTCAATTCATATGTCATTAATATTATTCAGCAATGAAACTTTTTTTTTTTTTTTTTTCTTATTCCCTGAGCTAAGAGAAGTCTCTTTTCTTTTATATGTGATAAACAAGCTGCATTGCATTTAAAAGCTGCACAGTCAACAAAATAAATTTTTCATATTGATATTGTCTACAGAGACTTGTTTCTGTTTTTACTTTGTAACATATATATAGCAGAATACATATTCCTTACATTCCCAGACAAATTTCCATTATGAAATTCATTTGTTGGATGTAATCTGAGCATTTTAATTGTAAATTGAAGTGAATGTGTTAAGAGAGATTGTATATGTTCATTAAGAAAGCAGGTGTTGAAATATTAAGTCTTAGAACTGTGATGACTATTTTGATAAGCATTATATTTTGAAAATATATGTAGATTTAAGACATATGGAACTTTATTGTATTTGTCCATAACAACTGTGATATTAAATTGTTATTGTGACAGTATGTGTTTTTGTGCAATTAATTAAAATCTAATAAAATTCACCCTGTAAGAGAGTTTTAACTTTTTTTGTTAATTTCAAATTGAAGTTTCAGACAGCAGTGTAATAATAATAGTTAGTGTAAAACCTCATAAATGTGCAGACCAATTTTTAATTTGTTGGAACAGAACATTGAGGTAAAGAGTTGAGAGGAGTAGTTAGATATCTCAAAAATATGTATTTCTAAATAAGTTAAAACTGAATGATTGTTCCCTCTAAGTAAGTAACACTATTTTTGGTGATGTTACTGAGCTTTTATAAAGCAATGCAGACAAGTATAACAAGAAGCATGTTAAAAAAAAAAAAAAAAAAAAAGCAAGCAAGCATATGTGATCCTGATATTTATTGTTTTCTTAGATACTATTACATCATTGATTTCTTAGGTACCAGTTCTTCTGATGTAGGCGGAAGACTTCAATTTTCGAACATGCTCTGCTAAACAAATTTACAACATATTTTTCCCAAGTTTCTCTTATTCTTTAAATTTCTCACAATTTTTATTAATTTAGCTTAATATGTCATTATTTTAACCAAAAATGTGATTAGTGGCATCTGATTCCCCCCCCCCTGGTTAACCTATTAAAGAGAAAAAAATTATCAACCATTCGTAATGCATGTGAAAATAGATGTGCCTGTAAACATCATGAACCAGTTCTCCAAAGTTCATCAAATGTAGCTACAGGCCATCTAACTCAGTGGTCTCAAACTGGTGGTCCTTATATATGGCCTTAAAATATTTTACATGGCCTTTAAATGCATTTCAATTATGTATCTGTTGTAGATATGGTGCTTACAGTTTTAGAGATATGGACTGAAAAAATTTATGCATCTGATGTTGAATGGAAATGAAAGAAAATAAATAGATTGGGACATTGTCACTGTATGCCTCTAGACGAAGCTATTTATTTGACCGGGCCTAGGTGAGAGAACTTCCCATGTCAGTACTATCAGTAAATTTAGCATGCTTCACTATTCCGGTGTTTCTGGTTTTTCTTGTGAGTCACTACTATTTAATTAAATGAATTAAAAATATAGTCAATATAAATTTCTTGCAGGTCTGCGATGTGTACTGTTTGTCATTGCAGTCCTTCAATTTCACTTGGTGGAAGGACCAATGTGCTAAATCATATGAACATGAACAGTTTAAAATGCATTGAAAAAAAGGAGGGGGAAAATGCTTTAATGGTCATCAATGAGATCAGCACACATTTCAGTTACACACTGTAGTGTGGATGCAAATAAACCAAACTGTCATTACAAACTTACAACTGATAGATATTGCGCATGTTTGGGAAGAGAGAATTCCTTAATCCCACAACCACTGAAGGTTTAATGCAGAATGCATGTTTTCTGCCCTCTTTATTTGAACACATTATACCTCCTATTATATTGTGATATAATTTAGAAAATTGATTCTTCATAACAAACCCAGTAAGAAATATTTGGTGCAAGAATGAAAATGACTACTTTTGTTACATAAATAGGTGAGAAAAGTCTGTTGCTTGCATTAAAACAGCTCCTTTCATCCTTCTTCCCTTTCTATTGATGGAAGTAATGATACTAATAGAAAACTATATCAGGTTGTTAATTTTTTAGTCCTGTGGCTTCAGAAATGGAATATAGTGTACTTTGTGCTTCCATTTTGGAAGGAGATTCTACAGACTTTTATATAGCACAATTAATTATTAAAACTTTGAAGAAAAATAGAATTTCTCTGGAATACTGTTTAACTCTTTGTACAGACAATGTACCAGCAATAGTAGACTTGAAGATTTATTTCAGGCATCTTGAAAAAAGAACTTTGATTTGCTGATTATGGGATTTTCCTGTCACCTTAACAACTGAAAAAGGTGCAATTTCTTCACCAGTGAATAGAGAGGAATTCATTGTTGAGGTTTATTTCAAAAAAGGTTCTAAAGGTAGGTAAAAATTCTGAAACGTGTATGCACATGCTGCATATCTTGAACTTGTTTTAAAATTTTTTGGCAAAAATAGGCCTACATGGCACATGCTGTGAGCAAAATTATGATGCTTCTTTTTTAAAGTAAGCAGAATCTGCTGTTATTAGTTTTTTATTACAAAACAGATTAAACTATTATTTTTCTAAAATGATGTTTTTAATGCCTGAGTATTTTTGTAGTAATTAAATTTAAAACCTTAAGGTTGCACTTTCAAATGTTAATTGTTAGATAGTATTTATAGTTTATTTTCTTTTTAAAAGGGGGATTTCTTTTTTATATATTTTTACTGTTTTAAAAATTATTTTTGTCACTGAAAAAATTCTGATTTAAAAAAAAAAAAAAAAAAATTCCTGAACTTTGAGCTTGATAGGTTTCTTTGTCTTCTGTGAGTTTTGCTTAAGTGTGTTTATTCTTTACCAAGTATGTCTCTGCTGCTGAATAAAAGAATAATTATAACCATTTTTTAATAGAATTAGCCACTTAGGTCAAATTTTTCAAGAACTAAATTAAATAAATATAAAATTATTAAACATCACTGCTTTATGAAATTATTATTGTCCATTATAACAATTAAATCATAAAAAAATTCACTCATCCCCCCTTTTTTCAATAAAATGGGTCATTTCAAAATTATGTTAAAAAGATCAGTTTCAAAGGGTATGTATAAGAGGTTTGTTAGAATCAATCACAGTGTAGGCAATCAAGTGTAAAAATAGTATAAGCTGTACAGTAATTGATAAATTTGGGTAATGGTGAAGACTGCTTGCTGTGGAGTTCACTTGTTGAATAATAAGATAACCAATTGCTGGAAGAGTTAAAAGTGCCTAAACGACCGAACTTCAGCTTTAAGAAATGAGTTGCTTAACCATTATAATGCTGTGCGTAAATGCAGTCAAAAAGGAAGCTGTTTTGAAATATGTAATTGTATGACCTACATTATGTAACTTGATGAGAAAAAAAATACAATTTTTGAAAGAATGAAAAATGTGTACGATATGAAATGGGCACAGTGATTGAAATTGTTTTGCTGAAATGATTCGAAGTTATGAGGCTAAAAAATTTGCAAAGCCTTCCAATGAAATCTTGATAAAAAAAAAGCTAAAGAAATTGCCAAACTACTGAAGGAATATTTTTTTCTGACTTACAAATGTCTGACAAGATAAGGAAAAGATGTTAATACCACAGCCCATTGCAAGCTTTATGGAAAGTAGAAAGATAAAAGTCAAAGAGCAGCTGAAATGTGAATTAAAACCATTTTGCTGTTAACTTTTGAAAAATTACAATACTATTGAAGCTGCATATATTTAGATAACTGCATAGATTTTTCATCAAGAGATAAAGAATTGAAAAATGAAAAGATTCTTTCGTTGTTAGACAAATGTGCAGCACATTTGAATAATATTAAATTGAATAGTAGAAATACGATATTAATATGGTATTTCTACATACAAATAGAACTTTTCTTCAATTTCTTAATCAAAGAATCATCAAAACCTTCAGATGTTATTGCAAAAATATCTAATGTGAAGGTAATTGATGTAATCAATAAAAAAAACTGAAAGTATAATAAAGGAGTTCTCTTTTGTAATCAAGTTATTTCTCTTTTGCATTCATTGTGCATGCTTAACAGTGCCTGGTAATCTGTCAATAGGCTATATATTGTTACAAAAATATGCGAATTTCCTTAAAAATACCCATCAGATGTAGTGTACCAATTTCAAAGATGAAAATATTACAATGATTAATATTTCAAATACATCAATGGAAATTTCTGCAGCAGTGTGGAAGTCTAATGTAGATACAATTGCAAATGTGATTAAAAAAAAGATAGGAAAGAGAAAATGATGAAATGTGCAGAATTTGATGCAGATGAGAATGGTATGTGAAATAGCCACCAAATCGTGTAATGCATTTCAGACTTTTTGTATGCCCTAGAACTGAAAAATAGAAATGTGAAAAATTCTAAACAATTCTTTGTAAATTCTTAAGTGAGTGGCGTAAGTGCGTTTTATTTTTAAAAATTTTGTTTTTTTTTTTTTTTTTTTTTTTTTTTTTTTTAAGTTTCACGGTTTTTGCATTTTATGATCAGCAGCTTAATGTAATTAAATGGTATAATGACATATTTCGTGAAGTAACTAATCGCTCATAATTTATTTTTTCATGGAATGAGTGAAAGTGAATATAATAATCATAATCCAATTCAGTTTAGCCAATTCACTTCACTTTTTGAAATGCAAGTAGTGGCATGATGTCAATCAAAGGCATACTAAGGTCTTCCATGAAGTATATATTCCCCATGAACTTTTACAATTCATAGTCTGATTTTGGTGTTATCAAGTTGGAATACTTTTTTATAATATTGAAGTATCATTTAGAAGAATCTTTGACATGAACTAAAGAAACCATCATGAAACTATTGATCATTTAGGAACAGGGCAGAGACAAAGTAACTGAATATTTCAAGAGAGTCTTTGCACTCTGAAGACAGTTAAAAGAATCTTAGGAACTGTTAGGAAGCCATGCTTTAAAAAAAAAGTGCAACTGGTTTTTAAGATTCAATTGCAACAAGAACTTGATTTCTAGGAGCTGAGCTCTAGAAATTGCAGTTAGAACTACCATTGGAACTTAGTACAGCAAAATGTATACAGAACTCGTAACGAGAAAATTTCTTCATGTCAGGAAAACCAGTGGTTTGTTTCATTGACCTCATAGCTGAAAAAAGCTCACCGAGATTGTTGTAGAGAAACTCAAAGCTAGATATGAAGCCTGTATTTTATTCAGTGCTGAACTGCTATTCATTGTGGCATCTATATCTAAACTCATTTGATCTAGATGCAATCAGGAACACAGAAATGTTCCTACAAAACTAAGAAATATAACAGTTACAGCTATGTCCAGATGCCAGTATAAAAGAAATAACTAGTGCATATATTCAGTAAATTAGGTTTGTGTATGGATACTCTGATGAAGTGTTACAGCCTTACTAGAAGCTCATTAGAGATGT